TTCATTTGGTCTGTTACGATGCTCTGTGTTTGATTACTAATGCCTGCGTTGCACACAGATGACAAAAACATTCAGCCTCGACTCTTTATCGTCATTTGTGTTAAAATTTGCAAAGCGTACCAAATTGAACAAAACAATATAAATGCAAAATTTGAATTCATAAATCTATCACGGTATCCACGGTATAGCAAAATCCATATCATGGAACAACATAATACCGGTAGTCACTTTTATACCAGTATAGCGCCCACCCCTAATATATCAGGGCTCGGAAAATTTCAGAATCCCTGGTAGCCCTTCGGGCAGGTACTCTTCAGATTTTGGTAGCCCGAAAATTAATTTAACTAGCCCAAGTAAAAAAAAAAAACACTTTTTTTTAAATATAGAAAATAGGGCTGCACGATAAATCAAAATGGAATCGAGATCGCGATTCGACAGAAGCTGCGATTGTCATGCATATCTTTCAGTGAAGCACGGTTCAGTGGTCAGCAGTAAATCTCCATCCAAGGGCCAGAGGGCGCTCTCGCGCTGAAACTCCAAATACGCCTAGCAGAAGAAACCCAGAAAATGCCTATTGCTGCAGCTGAATAAATGGAAGGTTCAACTGCTTTCATTGATTCAACGTGACTAATAAATACACGACTACGGTAATATACGGTTTATCTGAGTTCTTATTATTATAATTTTCATCAAAATAAAGTATATAATGCAATGCCTTTATCACTGCTTAAATACTATGAAATATGTTGCGTGCCTTATTCTGTGTAAGAAGCCACATCATCTCACAGAAGGATTTATTTCAAACACTCGACTGACGTTATGAAGTGAGTTTGGAGTAAAAATATGTTATTAAATGTGGTATTTTCACATGCTTTCAAGGAATTTTATTTCACTATTTACAGGGTATCTGCAGAATTTTTTAAAATAAATTTAAGGCAATTTATGACCCGTTTTAAGAGCTGCAGAAGTAAAATGAACACAGTATGAGTGGGGTTGGACAATGTCTATGGTAACATACAGTATTGAGCCATAAAATTACATGATTTACAGTTCAGATACAGGTTTTCACAAAAACAAAAATCTTATACAACAGCATTTCAGCCTTTAGACCATTTTTATGAAAAGAGATAATTCAAGCATATAAATTGTCAATTTAAAACGTATAAATATTATTGTCTTAATTGTTTAGATTTTTAGAAGGCACATTAACTTCTTTCTCATTTACAACTCTGTGTTTGCTGCGTAAAAACACGAGTTGATATTTGCATTGATCTGACCATAAACAGCAAGAAAGGCTGATTGGAAATGCAAATTCATTCTCTGCCACGAGGTCGTGCTTTAGGAGTGCTGAAATATTGTGGTTTCCCCGGTAATGGCTGTACACAAAGCAGCTCCGCGCTCATAAACGCTGCTTTATCAGGAATTATAGGTCAAAAGAAATTAAAATGCCAACGACACGTTTCTTCACAGTCGACTGCCTTCAGATACATTCAAAAAAAGACATTCGTGCCGCATTGTCACGTGCAGCGCTCATATTTATTCAATGACATCATTGCCTTTTGAAGTTTAATCCAGCCATATCGCGACGCTTGTCTTTCCGTCCCAAACTGTAAGACCTTGAAACCTTGAAATTGAAATGAAGACGTTTTTTATACCATTTAACGTATTTAAAACTTTTTATGGCCTTAACTTTGATACAACTCACTTTGAGTTTTTAAGGACCCGCCGGAGATCTGCATTTAAGATTGCCCGTCAGGCAGAGTAGTGATGCATTTTGGTAGCCTGACTGGAAAACACAATAGCCCCGGGACGTCGGGCTAGCGATTTTGCGAGCCCTGTATAATATATATATATATATGACATGTTGCCCTTTTTGGTGTTGCCCCAATATGTTGACTGTTGTCATGTCTTTCGGATCATGTGTTTTATTTAAGGCTTGACGGTTAAAGAAATGGTTCACCCAAGAATGAAAACCACCATCATTTAATCACCCTCATGTCATTCCAAACCTGTTTGACTTTCTTCTGCAGAACACAAAAGATGTTTTGAAAAACATTGGGAACCAAACAATATTGGTACCCATTGGCTTCTATTGTATGGACAAAAAAAAAGTCTTGTTCAAAATTTTTCAAAATATGATATTTTATATTCCACAAAATAGACTATATAAACTTATAATATAAACTTGAGGGTAAGTAAATGATGACTGAATTAAAATTTTCGGGGGAACTCTTTTTTTTTTTTTTAATTAATAGCTGATTGATCTTGCTTTTGTAGATTTGAAATATGCTAATCTGTCAGAGTTCACACGTTCACACATTTGTTCACACGGTCAGTTTTTGGGATTGACAACTGCATTTTCTTTACAGGTGTGAGTCTCGAAATGTCCCGTTCTCCGGTGGAAAACTGACGGGATCTAAAAATTTCAGATGACACGCAACACACACAAGAAAACACGCACCACATGGTAGACGTGCATTTGTTGCGGCAGAGCGACTTCCTCTCTCACTGTATGATGTGACAGACAACCAGTTGTCCAGTCCTGTTCCGTTCACACAGCGCGTGTGTTCCCGAGAATGCGGTTGTGAATCCTGAAAATTTACAGGTGTGAGTTCGGTTACAGAATGCGGACCGATAAAATATTTGTTATTTAGGCTAAGCATCAACATTCACTAACCACTGTTATTTTTAACAGAACATTTTCTGTTAAAAATAACAGTGGTTTGTGAATGTTGATGCTTAAGCAAGCATGGGCTGCTGCATCTTTCACAGTGTCTAAACTTACTGCTACTACACTGCGGTGAGTAGATTCTAACTTAATCACTTCTGATTGGCCATTTCATTCCAGAAATCAACAGCTGAGTCTGTGATTGGCTACATTGCGCTACCCTTTAAACACGTGTTATAAATAGAAACTATGCGTAGCTTGCGCATGTCAATCATTTTAATGTTAATATTAGTTGTTTTTTTGCTTTTGTGCAACAGATAAATAACAATTTATATGTTTTAGACACTTTGTTTAGATAATTTCTATTTTGCGGGAGCCCCGTGAATCATTTTATTCTCCCGCATCCCGCACACACACGAGTCTCTTCCCACCCGCACCCACACTCGCCCATCAAGAGTTGTCCATCGCCGCACCCTGTTGCGTTGGGTCCCGCAGTACTCCCGCGGGAGTGCAGGTTTCTAGTGTGAACGTAACCGTATTAAGGACTCAAATACAGGACTGACAACCATATTCTGCTGCTGTGTGAACGTGACAAGAATGTTGCATCCTATTGCAGTTAATCTATGTTGTAGCTGCTATGTTGTGTTGTAATCTTAGTAGCTGCTGTATCTCCTGGATGCAGAATCACAGAGTTCCAAGTGAGCAGGTTTGTGTCTTTACATAACCTCTATGAGAGTGGTGGAATGCACACTGAAAAGGGCAGATCCACCCACCCCCTTCCAACTCCGCCGCTCTCACACAAACACCCTTGTCCTATCTCCCCAGTGACTTTTCAGGATAGGACTGTATGACCTCTGCAAGCCACTATTGGCTGTATGGAGCAACAGGCAGGGCTGTGATTCAGGCTACTGCACAGCTGAGGGGAGTAGCTGCCGTTCACCATTAAGTGAGCTGGTGCTCTGATAAAGACAGGACAGTCACTGAGCAAGATTATCCTGACCCCAGAGTGCATACTTTCTGCCACACTGGCTCCATTAGCCGACAACAGCATGAGAATGAAGGAGATCTCTTTACGGCAGGACCCTGACCTGAGGAAGGAGCTGGCACTGCTGGCACGCGGCTGCGACTTTGTGTTACCCTCTCGCTTTAAGAAGAGGCTGAAAGCCTTCCAGCAAGGACAGGCAGGTTGTCTTATATGTTTTGTGTGAAGCCTTCTGACTGTTCTTGTTTGCTTAATGCTATTGCTGTCAGTCTCAGTGGGGATGTAATGTGATGTTAGTGTCCATTAGATGTGTGATTATAGCCGTGGCATTGAGCAATACTGTTGTTGTTTTTTTTTAAATAACTGAGATGCTAGAGGATTATAAGCGGTTTTAAGAGCATCCAAATGTTTAGGATTGAGCAGGAGGCTCTGTCTGCCCTGTGGTGGAGTTGATGATGGTCATTCCGTTTTATAGACATGGCTGACTGACTGGGGAAGGCAAGATTAAATGCATTCATCTCTTACAGTGGGTTAGACTGAGCAGAATCCCCTGCATATTAGGGCTGCACGATTATGACAAAAATCATAATTGTCGATTAATCCCTTGAAATTGTAATTGCGATTATTAATTACGATTATCGCAATTTACATTGAATGATGTTTATACCATTGTTTGATGCAACTGCATGCTGTATTTTTATATGAAAATAAACAAGCTGAAAACACTAACTGAAAAACTTTTAGTGCTTTTCTATAGTATTAAGCAAATGTCTAATCTATCACAAGAGACTGAAGCAATAATTAAATTGTCAAAATAACTATGACACCCAAGCTTATAAAATCATCAGATTATTTAAAAGGATCATATGATGTTGCTAAAAAGAACATTATTTTGTGTATTTGGTGTAATGAAACAGTTCCTGAATGTGTTGTTTACTGAGAAGGGATACAGCTGTCCATGTTATGCTGCTAATGCTGCATATAATAGGGCTGCACAGTTAATGATAATTGAATTTTCAGTAATTTTCTGATTTGCAAATACTTTTTTGTTGCTTTATTTAAAGGGGTCCTATTATGCTCTTTTACAGAGTCTTGATTTTGTTTTGGGGGTGTACTAGAACATGCTCTCATGCCTGGTGGTTCGAAAAACACATTATTTTTCACATAATTTACATTATTAAAATACCTTTCTCCCCAGCCTGGCACAAGTTCTAACCACAACCTCGCCCCTCCCCACCCCCCATCCATTTGAATTTCTGTAGGCGGGAATTATTTGTAATGATATTCTAATGAGCCGCTTTGTGATATCACAAAGCCCGGAAAACAAATGCTGTAGTCCAAACGAGCCGTTTGTTGTAGTTCTTGAAAAGGGATTTTTTAAAAACGAAATATCTCCCTTTGAAGTGGACTTTGAGATTTGTAACTTTCTAGATCTTTTTAATGCCCAAACATACACACTACACACTGACTAAAATTAAAAAAGTGAAAAAGCATAATAGGACCCCTTTAAAATGTTATAGAAAAAATTGGAGGAGGTTTGTTTTGTTCATGGCTTACAAGTAGTTTCACAGTTGTAGAAAATAACTGGGTAAAATATGTTGAGAACCAAGGCCGCTAAAGAAGTGGGCGTTTACTGTTGCTTTCTATAGTATGAATTTTATTTTTTGATTTAATGAAATAAATCAAATGTAATGTGAAGACAGAGTTTTGTTGACCAAGAGGTTAATTACGGATTTGGAATAAATTGCATATTAAAGGGGTTAGGGCTGTCAAAAGGTCTCATCAGTGCTCTATCAGGTATTACTTTAATAAGCATATTTGTGATATTTGCCTTAAATTGATTTCTGTTACACTTTTTAAGTTTATGAAGGACAATATTTTCCTAACCTGATTAAATGTACGTCACCATTTACGTCAAAATCTTAAATTTAATCAATACATTAAGTTAAATTGATTATAAGACGACACTATATGGTTGTTACCATTCAAATGAAATCAGTATCAACAAACTCCATCTTTCCACTGCAGAGGAAACTGAAGCTGCATCGAAAGTGCCATAGATGTATTTACTCAGACTATTTAATGAAGATAAGAGGTTCCATAAATTCATTTACTCCAAATTGCAAATGCTTAAATAATGTTATTAGATTAATGTTTTACTATTTTTGACATACAAATACATACCCATCAACCCTCCCGTTTTTCCCGGGATTCTCCTGTATTTTACCATTCTATCCCGCTATCATCCCGTTTAAATATTTTCCCGTATTTCTCCCGTATTTTTAATCTTTCTATAAAAAAATCCCACTGGGCGTATTTTATATGTTTGCTACATTCGCCTCCGGTAAAACTCCCGTAATTTGTATGGCCCAAACCTCATTATATACGAATAATCACGTCAACAAATTCCAAGGTTGCCCAGTTGCCAGATCTTGTATGAAACGCATCCTTCTCACACAATCGATGCATACAAATTTCAACCCATTTGTCCCCACAACTTGGCAACCTACAACAGTGATGAGTACCGCGGGAAGGAAAGGATCACTGGTAGAAATGGGACGGGAGGAGAAGACTCAGGTGGTGCACCGGTGGAAAAAAACAAATATACATGCAAATTGAGATATAGCTTACACTTCAAAAGGCTATGGCCTAGTGTAGGCCAGTGGTCTTCACTATTTTTTTCATTAGCCCATCATGTAGCTAACCTTCCAAGAGCACATTCGGCGTTAAGAGCTGGAAAGATTGCCAAAACTGGCAACTCCGTGAGTCAGTGTCATGGACATAAGGGCAGAACCAGTTTAAATCTTTTCTAGTCTATATGTCCATCTTGTAATGCTGCTGTTTTAGGTATTTTTTTATATATATAAATGATTTGTTATAGAGCCTGCACTCTACACCGGAGATGGAACAGCAAAAAGTCTGTCTACACTGGACATGACAAAGCTACTGTTGCAAATCATTTGAACGTTGTGTCAATACAGTTCATCATAAATAGAATGAGGAATCAGTTTACAGATGGGGCTATGGCTATATTCCTGGCGAAAAGCGAAAGAATGAAGAGAGAATGAATTTGCATTTTTCAATAAGCCCTTCTGCTTTTTGTTTTAGTCCAAAGCCAAAAACGACCCTTATTTTTACGCAGAAAACACGGTTTGATATACACGGTTTAAATAATAGTTTGATAATAATTGTTTAAATTAATATAATAATATAATAATTGATTCTTTTGCCCCGCTCCCCGCCCCAAACCCAAGCACCCCCCTAAACTCTCGCGGTCTTCCTCCACACTTTCATGACGTAATGCCGCTTTGACTGTCGTGTAGAAGTCTGCAGCGGAGCTCTCCTCAGTGCGCATCAATGGTGCGTAGCTGCCGCAAAGGGTGTGCTCACGAGCACCCTTCTGAAAGCTAAAATGACGAATGGGACACCCTACGGTCTCGTGGACTTAACGGACATGCGCACGTGGCAGCCATTGTAAGTCTGCAAGAGCGCAAGTGCACATGAAGTGTGCCATTTGGGACAGGGCCTTTTTAGTTTGCGCATGATTCATGTGTACGCGCTCAGAAAAAGCGCACGTCAGAACAAGTGAATGAAATGTTTACTCGGCAAGACTTTAAAGCACATGCAAATAATGTGCTTTTGTGATTGCAAATATGTGCAGTGTCCCGGGAGTTAACATTTGAGTGAATGTATGTCGTGTTATAGAGTATATTGAGACACAGGCGCCAGAACTGTAACTGATAGAATGTGCGCTGCAGCATGAAACTGCAATATTTCTTAAAAGGCAGATCGAGACATTTTTATCGTCCACGATCAAAAATTGTGACATTGCACACCCCTGTCTGCTTCCATATCACAATAACCAAATATTGCCACCTAATTCATTGCCTTGCTGTAAAAAATATTTACATCTCTCAGGATAAAACAACAGCACAGAAGGTTGTGTTGGCTGAAGCCTATACGTGTCCATGTGTTTGTCTAATATAGAAAAGCCAAATGGGTCTTGTTCAGTGTAATGTTGCTTATTCTAGAGAGTGGGCTTTGATGGAGTTTTTTTTTTTCCCTGTGTGGAAGTTCTAGGGGGTCAAGATCTTCACAGCTGCAGCCTGACACTCAAATAGTTGAGGTTTTAAGTTACTGTGGGAAGCTGAGCCTTTGGAAAATCAGTAATAAGAGGAATTTAACCACAAGTGTTCACAAAACATTGGGCATGAAGGACGTTTTGTCATTTGATAAAGCCTTCATACAGTTGTTGTGCACATTTGGGTCAAGTTTTCTCAAAATCCCCCACAGTTTTTTTTAAATGTAACTCTTCATAGATCTTCATCCACCCAACTCTGGGTCATAAAGTCTGTTCTAAAAATTTCAAAGCTTTTTAAACTTAAACATTTCAGGCAGGGCTTTGTCAAGCCAGCATCAAAATTTGCCTCTAATTGTTCCTCTTCTTTTTATAAACTTTTTAAACTTTTTTTTGCTTTTGATTGATTGATTATTTTTTAGTCAGTGTAACTAAATACTTAATTGTAAAATATATAACTAGTCCAGTAGTTTATTTCGGATATTGTTTTACCATACCAAGTTAATCTGTTTCCAGCAGTTAAGTCTGAAACCGCTATCCATCACAAGTTGTTATCAGCTGTGTATCTGTTTAAAACAGTTTTTTTTTTCAGAACATGATAGCAAATAGATTTGACATAAGGACAACGGGTTAGCACTGGTTATCACACTGTAGAGAGATCTCGTTTTTTTTTTTTTTTTTAGACAACTTCATCTAGACGCAGCCAAAAGTTAGTTGTTTATGTACTAAGCCTTTTTTTCTATGAACAGGTGGAAGGTTTTTTGTTGTTGTTTGTTTCTGTATGTTTTAAGGAAATGTAACAAACCCTAAGGAAAACTGAACAAATTTAAAATACTAAACGAAAAGGGCTTACCCTTATTTTGTATTTTAAATTTGTTCATTTGATGTCATAAATGAGTGACTTCTCATGTTTCAAACCATTATCCACGTTAATGTTTCTTATCCTTCATGTCATGTATACAGCATCACATGGAACAAAAAAGGGTGTGAGGCTGTCAGAATTGTTTTAAATTGTGTGTTTTACGCACTCTGAGGTGACTTAATTAAGCCATTAGTGTGAAATGCTGATTGAGGGGCAATTTTCTGAGCAACCGTACATCTCTCCCACGATGAGTCTTGTGGCTAATGGTTATTTCTTCTGTCTTTTTCAGCAGGCTAAGAAAGAGGAGCCCGTTACACCATCTTTAAGTGAAAGCATTCCAAAGTTCTACTTCCCTCAAGGACAGCCCCAGGCCAACATCAACATAGACAATCTTATTTCCAAGATAGAAAAAATATTTTCTCAATTTTCTGATGAAAGAGTCACTATTAAAGACATGGGGCTAGTTGCCAAGGTAAGTGTGGTTTGTAACATGCCACCTTTATCCCCTCTGCAAATTGTTCATTTTGTGTAACTAACTTATAACTGTTTACATGTTTGAAGGTTTTACTTTTCCTTTAGCAAGTGGAAAAATATCACCACTGTTTATATGTTGAATTACTTGTCCTGAAGAGAACCTATTTAGGTAAACGACGGGATTCAGGAATTTAAACAGAAAGATTTATAAACATAATCATTGCTAATTAGCCCCATTTATAGTTTCTACAGCACTTGTGAAAGATGTAGTCATAATGGCCAAGCACTTAACAGAAACCTCTGATTGAGCTAAATTGCCCGTTTAAGAGAGAATGGTTGTAGTGTTGCATTTTATTTCTGAACTCTACTGTAACATTAAGATCTGAAAACTTTACAGTCTGTTTGGTGCTTATTTGTTTAGATAGAAATATAGCATTCATTCTGAAATTCATTACATCTAGATCTATTTTGTCACCCTGAGGTTGCAGTAACAGTCTAGGGTAAACGTACCTATTAAGCTCACGTACCCATTAAGCACACTTCCATTTTTGAGCTCAGATTATAAAAAGAAAAAATATATAATTTCAAGTCAATCAGATCATTGCACACTGAGATATGTTTGTCCATGTGTTAACACTGTCTGGCGGCCATTTTGAAAGCGGTCTAAAAACTTTCGCCAAAAGAGGAGCCCCTTAAATGTGCGTTTTTTAAATGTTTAAGCCTTTATTTTGGGTAAGTTTCACAACTTACTGTAAACTTAAGAGATTAATGTTTAGACTTTTGCATATTATAACCTGGAACTTGGATGTGGGATATAATTCCAGTTAGATTCAAAAGATAGTTTTAACAACATAGCGTAGGGTGACCATACGTGCCATTTTCCCAGGACGCGTCCTGGCCAGGATTTCTATATTCCCTAAAATATCTAGGTTTTGGCTTTGTTTGCGTGTGCAGACCGATCGGTGTATGACATCAAAATACCTCGAGAGCATTTTGAAAGCATAAGGAACCGTCTGTATGGTATTTTGATGTCATATATAGAAATCCTGGCCAGGACGCATCCTGGGAAAATGGCACATATGGTCACCCTAACATAGCGCAGATGCTACAGAACACAGTTAGCTGACTAGTTGTATAAGATTGTGTGCTACGCTAATAAATTACTTCACAGGCATTACTGGCTTGTATTTTTAAATCCATAATATTATAAATTGAAAGATTATTGCTGGTCTGTGGTTTTACAGTGCCGTAATTTTTAAAGATTTCATATTATTGTATGGTGAGCTTAAAGGGTGCACTACTATGAAAATCACACAGCTTCAGTGTGACATCAATAAGAAAAAGTAAAATTTCATAGATATTGTAAATAATAGTTGTTCATATTAAAATATGTATGAACTTATTACATGACCTAGATCAGTGGTCGCCAACCCGTCGATCGCGATCGACTGGTAGTTCTTTATCACTGTCCCAGTATATCCCGAAAATAACAGTAAAATACGTACAAAAATGCATTGCATTTCTGGGGTTATATTAATGTATCACTGAAGGGGGAACTGTCTTGAGAAAAGTTTCGATGGCAATGGCATTTTCTTCTCCGTATAAAGCGCAGCTCTGCTTTGTTTACAGCGGTAACCAAGGAAACGATATATTGCCGTCGGTTCATAAGCAATGTTGCCAAGTCCGCGGTTTTACCGCGGAATTGGGCTACTTTAACACTGTTGCCGCGGGTTGTTGTTCATGTCCGCGGGTTGAAGCGACCCCAATAATGTGATATTTAGCCCCTGGAATGTGAATTTTACTGGAAGATCCCTGCCGAAAAACATGTATTTTACCCCGGAATGCGATTTTTGCAGGGGGACCCCCCTCGAAACACGATTGGACTAGTTTTATTGCGAAAACCTGGCAACCCTGTTCATAAGCGCCACAAGCTCAGTGTGTTCTCGTTAAGCTCTTCCACACTGAACGTCTATGTAAATACTTCATAAACAGACTTAAATATAAACTGATGGTTGTCACTAAGGTAAGTTAATCGATTTTCTATAGATTCTGTCAACTAAAATCTGCAGACCGGCTCTGACCTTTGGCAACTAGTGTCAACTAGACTTGTGCCGGTATTCGGTAATGCGATATATCACGGGTGTCAACTTCTCCAGACTGTAAATCAGTGGAAAATCGGGGCAAAAACCGTGTAGTGTATTCCAGCCTTAAGAGACTATAGATAAGTTGACATCCATATGTTGCAATGTGCTTAAATTACACTTCATTATGAATTTATAACTGATCAAAAATTGAATGCCTTGTTGCTTGATTTTAGTGTTCTGTTTTTTTTGTACTTTTTTTTTTACTTTGTACCTTCAAAAAATATATACTTTTCAATTATTCTTTAAAAAGATTGTTTAAAATAAACAAGAATTTTTAATAAAACATGATGTGAGCTTAATCTCGGTGTGACGTTTTTGTCTCTTTGCAGGCTTGCGAGTGCCCACTCTATTGGAAAGCTCCATTGTTCCATGCTGCTGGAGGAGACAGGAGGGGATATGTGTCCGTTCACAAGTTTGTGGCAATGTGGCGAAAGTAAGACAATAGTTCTCTCTTCACAGTGCCCTTTCACATTAATATCAACTGGGGTCAATGGCTGCACATGGGGTTTTTTAGCAAGTATATGAATGTCCTCTTATCAAGCGCTAAAGTGCCGTGAGCTCTGTGTATGATTTTGGCGGTTATTGATTATTTGATTGATTATTTTGTACGACGAAACGGCTGTTTATTTTATGTGTCCCTGCATTACTTTGTGATTTTTTTTTATTTCTTGTATACTTATGGGAAGTCGTGGCCTAATGGTTAGAGAGTCGGACTCGTAACCCAAAGGTTGCGGGTTCGAGTCTCGTACCGGCAGGGATTGTAGGTGGGGGGAGTGAATGTACAGCGCTCTCTCCCACCTTCAATACCACGACTGAGGTGCCCTTGAGCAAGGCACCGAACCCCCAACTGCTCCCCGGGCGCCGCAGCAAAAAAAATGGCTGCCCACTGCTCCGGGTGTGTGTTCACGGTGTGTGTGTTCACTGCTGTGTGTGTGCACTTTGGATGGGATAAATGCAGAGCACTAATTCCTAGTATGTGTCACCATACTTGGCCACATGTCATGTCACTTCACTTCACTTCACTTCACTTATTCAAGTTTCTAACTGAGCGGCTGTGATTCTACAGAGAGTACATGAACAGATATATGATATGAAGTGGATTTTCCATAAAATATAATTAAATGAAAAAAAATATATCTATCTATATTATTAATGTACCATGTCTAGAAATACATTTATGTAAATATTTTTAATGAGATTATTAGTGTTCTGGAGAAAACTGGGAGTTCCTGGTTTGGCTGAGCATCTGGGTGGGGGTCCCTGAATCTGTAAAGGTTGAACACTCTTGTTTTATAATCATTATTCCTCCTCCATTGTTAGGGTTGGGAATCGAAAATCGGATACTTAAGGTCAGGAATCGGATACTTGTTGTCAAATTAAAATTTAGATTCCGCCTATCGATTCCTTTGCACTTTTTTTTTCTTCATCTGTGAGCACCGGATCTAGCGATCTGCCAGGACCTTGCTCGCTAATCTAAGCACTCCAAAGTGCGGGCAACATTTGCAATCAGTAGGGCTGGTCCGAATACCATTTTTTTGAGCTTCGAAGCTTCGGTAGTAATCAACACCGAATATTCGAAGCTTCGGAGGGAGGGGGCTGAACATATTCTTCTCTCTAATAAAGGCAGGAATCTCTGTGTCTGTCTGTCTGTTTGCATTTTTATTATGTCGAGAACCGTTCATCCAATCGACTTCACGCACGGCGGGTGTGTTGCTGCGGACCCAAGGGATTGCAGTGTCGCATTTTGGTGCAATATGGACACGCGACATGTTCAGAATTAATAAACTTTTAATAAACGGCCCTAGCGATCAGAAGCCAAAAAAGCTAAGTATAATAAACATGTTGCAAGAGAGGTGTCACCACCAGCATGACAAAGCAGTTTAATTTAATAGATTGTTAAAGATCGCGAACACGATTCAAACACCAACGTGATTCTATTCCTGAATTACAATGATTCGTCTGTTTCATTCCTCAACCTTTGACGTGTGCGATCAATGTTGTGATCACTTGGTTCGTCCGTGCAGCGTACGATCACACCAGTGTGATTTGAACATTTAAATTAGCGTTCGCGCTGCCATTGACCTAAAGAGAGCAGCTGTCATCTGTGTCATCATTTTCATTAATGAAACCGCTTCACAGTCTTTTCAGCCACACAGAATCATTTCTGTGTTACAAACATTCAAATCACAGAAGTACTAGGATAGAAATTTATAGTTCAGATATAAACTGTGTGTAGAAAAAGAAAAAAAAACCTCAATTTATCCAGAATCATGTAGTTCTATTTTGCTCACAAACAGCTCTTAAAGAGTCTAGCTTTTATTTAGCCTGTTGATTTTGGTTCATGGTATTCAGCTCCAATAAATGGTTTGCAAAAAAGAGACACAGGATAAATTAGGGCTGGGCGATATAGCTAAAAAATGTATCAACGATATAATGTTTCGAAGATGTACCGTCGATAAATATCAATACCGTTTTATCGCCAGGCCTAGGATAAATGTTTGATATCATTATTTAATCACATTGAAATCAAAACTGGGAATCGAAAAGAATCGGAATCGATAATCGGAATCGCAATTTATCAAATTTAAATGATACCCAACCCTAATCATTGTATGTCAGAACTGGCTGAGCGTGAATTCTGGAGCCTCATTTGTAGATTCCATTAATCCAAAGCCACATATTTGAAGTGAAGGGTTTTGGAGACCATATTGCTCTATGAAAGGATGAGGGGGAGCCTGAAACCATCTGTTTCCTCCCCACAGAGTGCTTCAGTCCTGTCATGATGACGCATTCAAATTTCTTCACCTTCTGGCCAAGCCAGGCTGCAGTTATTTGGAACAAGAGGACTTTATTCCATTCCTGCAGGTACAGAGTTCTGGAATAGAGACTTACCACTGAGAACACAGACACACACACAGGTCAAAATGCACTGAGCATTGATGATTTCAGCATTATATTATTTGCTACCATTCCTTTTTTTATGTACTTGCAAAATTTCAAATGTAATGCTAAATGTTATAAAATAATTGTGTGCAGTAGTGCATTCTTTGAGTTCAGTGATGGGTGGACATGTCATTTATATTCACTGGCAGGATTGGCCATGCACAGTGGAGGAGATGTATTCTGGCGTCCGCACTTTAATTTGTATTGTGTAGCTTTAGCAATTGCTTTGACCGTTTTGATGAATGAAAAAAGTATTGTTATGGAGTAGATTGGCCTGTTCCCGTCTGCTCCGTTACAGCAGTGATTTATGTGTTTTTCTATTGTTTAATTTCATATGGGGAAGGGTCAAAGAGTCACGCACCTCCCCCAAAATAAGTTGTCATAATATATCGCCTTTTACGCATATATACCAGTATTTGACTATGAAACATGCATGAGTAAAATGTTTGTTTCTCTGCTGAAGAATGCACTTTATGGAAAAGTCAGCAGGCCATATGTATGCAGAGAGTGAGACTGGCTGAAACTGATGCACAAGCTAAAAACTGGACTTGGCCTTAAAATCACCCCTTTGTTCTTAGAAGCTTAATACCTTTAACATTTCCACACGTCTTGTACCAACGTATTAGCCTCTGCAAGTGGATAGACTAAAATTATTTGCCTTTTCTCTGTAATCTAATCCAGAGCCTCTTTGCACACAAATGGATTTAACATTGCTGTTTTTTCTTCTCCTGTAAGCTGTGTCAGTTATTATATGCTGACTTTGATGTTATATTGGTGTGTGTGAATCATTTATATACCTTTTTTTTTTTTAAAGGATGTGGTGGATTCACATACAGGTCTGGCATTTCTAAAGGAGGCTTCAGACTTTCACTCACGCTACATTACCACTGTAAGGAATACTTCCAGTTGTGTATTTTTCTAGTAATTGAAACGCTTTTTGTATATTAAGCATGGATTTGCACCATTAACTAAAGCCTCAAATAACCTGAACCGGCTGTGTGTGTGTGTGTGTGTATATATATATATATATATATATACACTCTGATATTATTTTGGTGCACCATAGGGCTGGGCGGTATGACGTTACCGTGAAATAAAGTGTCTATCATTAGAGATTTTGCTATATCTTGTATTCCGCAGTATGCAAATTAGGGCTGCACGATATTGGAAAAAACTCGCATTGCGATATTTTATTTTTCTGCGATATACACTGAACACAATTATAAACGCAACACTTTTGTTTTTGCCCCCATTTTTCATGAGCTGAACTCAAAGGTCTAAGACTTTTTCTATGTACACAAAAGGCCTATTTCTCTCAAATATTGTTCACAAATCTGTCTAAATCTGTGTTAGTGAGCACTTCTCCTTTGTCGAGATAATCCATCCACCTCACAGGTGTTGGCATATCAAGATGCTGATTAGACAGCATGATTATTGCACAGGTGTGCCTTAGGCTGGCCACAATAAAAGGCCACTCTAAAATGTGCAGTTTTATCACACAGCACAATGCCACAGATGTCGCATGTTTTGAGGGAGTGTGCAATTGGCATGCTGACTGCAGGAATGTCCACCAGAGCTGTTGCCCGTGAATTAAATGTTCATTTCTCTACTATAAGCCGTCTCCAAAGGCGTTTCAGAGAATTTGGCAGTACATCCAACCGGCCTCACAACCGCAGACCACGTGTAACCACACCAGCCCAGGACCTCCACATCCAGCATCTTCACCTCCAAGATCGTCTGAGACCAGCCACCTGGACAGCTGCTGCAACAATCGGTTTGCATAACCAAAGAATTTCTGCACAAACTGTCAGAAACCGTCTCAGGGAAGCTCATCTGCATGCTCGTCGTCCTCATCAGGGTCTCGACCTGACTGCAGTTCATCGTCGTAACCGACTTGAGTGGGCAAATGCTCACATTC